TTTACCCTTGAGGAAAGGACAGTTCAGTAAAGTCGCAATCATAGGACCAATGAGTGACGATACAGAACAACTGAGTGGTGACTACCAACCTTTTCAAGATAAATCTTTCTTCACGACTCCTTTGGATACAGTGAAAACTCTCTATCCCAAGGCCAAATACGGACAAGTGTGCAACGACAGCACGCCGTGTACACAGTACAATAAAGCTGCTTTGCCTGCAATAGTCAAAGACACAGAACTGGTGTTTGTCGCTCTAGGAACTGGTCGCGCTGTTGAAATGGAGGGAAACGACAGGCCGGATGTCGAGCTGGCCGGACACCAGAAGGAACTACTTCTGGATGTTCTAGACAACAGCGGTGACGCTAAGATCATCTTGCTTCTCTTCTCTGCCAGTCCTCTCAACATTACGTTTGCCGACCAGTCAGACCGCGTGGTAGCCATCATGGAATGTTTCTTTCCGGCACAATCTACTGGGAAGGCCCTGTACAATGTTCTGACCAACACCGGGCCGTATTCTTCCCCGGCAGGCAGACTGCCCAACACCTGGCCCCTGTACAGTACACAGATTCCACCCATGGTTAACTACTCTATGGAGGGTAGAACGTACCGCTACTTCAGAGGCGATCCCTTGTACCCGTTCGGCTATGGCCTCTCCTACACCCAGTTCAATTTCTCTAATCTGATGTACAACACAACAATCAAGGCAGGAGCTAGTCTGAGTGTCCAGGTGGACATTACAAATGTGGGTGACGTTGATGGCGAAGAAGTTCTTCAATGTTACATCAGCTGGAATGACAAGTCCTTGCCCGTTCCACAGCTGCAGTTGGCCTACTTTGACCGGATCCTCATAGCCTCCAAGCAAACGATCTCAAGGCGTTTGTCGATATCTTCGGAGTCCATGGCGTTTTGGCAAGACGGGAAATGGGTCATCAAAGCTGGTGGGATGAGTCTGTTGTGTGGTGGACAACAGCCAAATCAGAAGAAACAGGTGCCGTCCAACGTCCTCTCTGGAACGTTCACCATCACAAACTCTGACACTCTTTAAAAGTAATATTTTTCAAATTTTTGTTCCTATTCCTGAATGTATTTATATGTGTGTATATATATATATATATATATATATATATATATATATATATATATATATATATATATATATATATATATATATATATATATAAGTGCATGTGTGTGTATGTATGTGTGTGTGCGTCTGTATGTGTGTGTGTGTGTGTGTGTGTGTGTGTGTGTGTGTGTGTGTGTGTGTGTGTGTGTGTGTGTGTGTGTATGGGCTGTTGAGAGTGGGAAAAAGTGCATGTGTGCGAGCGGTTTTGCAGGAGCTAGAAAAAATTTGTTTTGCTTTAAACAGAAAATTGTGATGTGTTGTCATCATCAAGTTGAACTGTATGTGGAGTGAATTGTAATCAAAGCATCATGGTTTCTTACACTGAAACAGCAGTTTGTACTGTATATGATGGTCAGTATTCTGTAGCTAGTTCTTTTATTTCTATAAATAGATAGATAGATAGATAGATAGATAGATAGATAGATAGATAGATAGATAGATAGATTGATAGATAGATAGATAGATAGATATAGAGAGATAGAGAGATAGATAGATAGATATAGATAGATAGAGAGATAGATAGATAGATAGATAGATAGATAGATAGATAGATATAGATAGATAGAGAGATATATAACGTTTTATTGCTTTTCCACACGGGTGGCGCTGTTTGACAGCAGCTTTTTTTTTTGGGGGGGGGGGGGGCGTGTGATTAACAACAAGTACACACATATCTTTCCACTGAGCCTTCATTCTAAATGCTGACTATCTTCATTACGTGATATTTTGTGACAGCCCAGGCTTTTCATTTGAATTTTACCATATCTGCCTGTCTATATCAGTTCTATAAAAATTTCCTAGTAATCGGTGTTCATTTCGTGTTTCCTTGTCGGGTGTTTCACCAGCGTCCTTTTTACATGTATTTGTTTCAGCCCCATATTTACTCTCTTGAGTACCATTCTGCCATTGTTGACTCCTCAATATTATGTTCATAATGTCTCTGTCTACTTTTACTCCAGATTCCCTTTCTCTTTCTCTCTGTCCCTGTCTCCGTCGCTGTCTCTCTGTTTCTCTCCTTCACTCTCTCCCAGTGTATATATATATACCCAGAGGCAATGGAAACTTTCCACTTTGTTTTTAGTAACTGTGCCCTTTGTTCGTGTGAGTTAGCAAAATTTTGCACACCACTTACCATGAACCCAACGATGACTCCGCACTGATTTTTTGTTTCTTGAACAAAAAGTAAACCACATGACCCACATGCAAATTAAAACATGAAGTCGTTTACATTGTGTTAGATCAACACATTTGCGGATTTTGAAATGAAAAAGCAAGTTACATACACATTCCAGCTGGTTTTTGTTGACTTGAATTGCTGTACAAGATGGAAAAGTTGAGCCCCAAAGAGCGCTGTCGAGCAATTTGAATATTTCAAACTGAACTATCGGCCCGTACAGCGGCGCGGATGCTTCGTTGCTCCCATTCTACAATCAATAACTTGAAAGATAGCTTCCAAGTCACTGGAGTTACACATGACATACTCAGAACATGCAGACCACCGCTCGATACTGCCCAAGAAGACAGACAGATTAACTGCTCTGGCATCTTCGAGGTCGCTTTCTCACAACGACCAGCTCTGAACATCAATTTCATACAGACACTGGAAGAGTTATCACCAAAAGAAGGATACAACGGTGTTAAAAAAAGCATCCGGACATCGAGCAAGGCGGCATTATAATGGCCAACGTTCGCCATCTTTCCAAGAATTACACTTGAACTGACTGGGCAAATTGACACATTCGTCTGGGATGGAGTTCTCTTCTCGAAGAGTTTGGAGACATGAAGGACTGGAACAAACATTGATTCAAGAATGGAATGGACTGCCACAACAATTAATTTAAAAGATATTTTAAAAAACCGACTCGATCAATGCGCCGAACATGCCAAGCTTGCATCATTGCAAGGGACGCCCGTACTCGTTACTGACGTGAAATTTTGAAATCAGTGGGTACCAGTTTCTGCTTAACTCTGGGCCATCACAGGAGACATGATCAAGAAACAAAAAGTAATACTCTTCTTGACATACTTTGAAATGTGTCTGTGTCAATTTTTTAAACAAATATGTTAATTAATAATAAGCGCAATACAGGCTTCTCTCCTAGTAGAAGGTTTCTATTGCCACTGAGTATATATAAATT